CTTTAGTCACTCCTGTCAGCCTTCTAACAGTCTCTACTTAAAAAAAAAAAAAAAATTAAGATTTATTTGAGAGAGAGGAGAGCGAGAACAGGAGCGGGGAGGAAGTAGCGAGGGGCTGAGGGAGAGGGAGAAGCAGACTCTTCCCTCAGCCCAGAGCCCAGCGTGGGGCTGGATCCCACGACTCTGGGATCAGGACCTGAGCCGAAGGCCGACGCTTAACGGACGGAGCCACGCAGAGACGTCCAGTCATACTCATGAACTACGCTTCCTAGAGATTCAGTGGAACTGAAAGTCGGGGGGAAACAGTGAATTACGGATGATTAAAAAAAGAAAAAGCCAGAGTCCTTTCCCTAACCCTTAACATTTTTATAAGTTTAAAATACCTGAGAGAACGGTGAAGAAGTCATACTCGTAGGAGGTAACCCGGAGGACTTGAGGCCGGATGACCCGCTAGATGGACCAGGCAGTGGGAGGCTCCCCCACCTCCAATCCTGGGCTTGGAAGGTACGTTCCGCTCATTGTTCCTGTAGCCGGAGCCATTTCAAGGATGCAACCTTGAGAGAGCAATGCGTTGCGAGGCTCTGAGGAATGTGTGTGATTGAACCCTATTAAGGCTTCCATATAAACTTTTGAGATTCTGGCCAGTGAGTGCAGAGACCCGCTTGTCTTGCAACCTCCAATGACGAGCCTCCTAAGTAAGTCCCCTTACTTATTAAAACTGGCACCTCCCCAGCTTATCCTAAAATGTGTGTAAAAAGCAGGTGCTTTACGTTAAAATTGTGTAGTGCATGCTCTGTGCGGAATTCAGAGGAAAACCCATATTCAGTGATTAACAATGACCAAAAAAAAAAAAAAAAAAAAAAAAAGCAAGTAATTAGCCATTATTCAAGGAAAGCAGTGGTGCTGTTTCTCTTTTGTGGCCTTTTAGACTTTTGTTGCCCCAAAATTCCATGTTATTGGAAACCTACTTTCCACCTGGTCTTTGATTTGTTTTTTGTTTTTTTTTTTTTTTTCTTAGAGGGAGAGAGTGGGGGGAGGTGCAGAGGGAGTGGGAGAGAGACTCTTTAAGTAGGCTCCACACCCAGCGCAGAGCACCGACCCCTGCAGGGTTGTCAAGCCCACAGTCCTGAGATCAGGACCTGAGCGGTAATGAATCAGCACCCATCCACTGGGTCTTTCTTGACAGGGTTTTTATTTTGTTTTGTTTTTCCTATTTTAAACAGATTCTAAATAAAATTCTGTATTTCAGGAGTAAAACAAAAACTGCCAGAAACTGCCACTTACAAAAACAACAACAACAACAACAACAACAACAACAGGAGTAACAAACCTGCCACTTACCAATCTGGAGCGGCCTGCCCCTTTCTCTGGTTTCTCCGGACCCTTCCAGTGCAGGGCCAGTTTCAGATTTCACCCAAGAAACTCCTCAGGTTGCAAACAAACAGACAGGCTGAGATTCTGTAAATAAATGAAGTCTAAAATGAGCTTTTCTTTCAATTTTAAATTTTGCTGCTACTTCATAGAATTATAGATTATGGATTTTTGTGCTCTTTTTTGTCTGTCTAGTTTCTGGAGTCTTGTTTCTTCCTCTTGGTCAGAGGAACCTTTCTAGGTGACTGGGGTAGGAATTAGCTGAAAAATGGACCATGGGCAGGATTCCTCTTTTACTCTTGTTTACCAACAGCTTTTTAAAATCTGATTTCATTTGGTAGAAACATGGCATTACTTAATCTGTGCATTGAGCATAGCATTGCTTAACTGGATGGTGGATAGTGACTCCCTTCCTTTTCTTAAAAAAATAGACCGTTTTCATTAAAGCAGTTTTAGGCTTACAGAAAATCTGCAGAAAGTTCAGAGAATTCCCATAGTCCCCCCTCTTTCCCCTATTATTAATACCTTGCATTGGTGCTCTACATTTCTTACAATTGATGAGCCAATATTGATGCATATTGTTATTAACTAAAGTTTATAGTTTAGAGTTCACTTTTGTTGTTGTACATTGTATGTGTTTTGATAAATATATAAGTGTATAATGGCATGTATCCACCACTGTTGTATCCTACAGAATAGTTTTAGTGCCCTAAAAATCTTTTGTGCTCCCCCTATTGACTTCTCCTCACCCTAACCCCTGACCACCACTGATCTTTTTTACTGTCTCCATAGTTTTACTTTTTCCAGGATGTTATAAAGTTGAATTCATGCAGTATGGAGCTTTTCAAATCGGCTTCTTTCACTTAGCAATATGCATTTATGATTCCTTCAGGTCTTTAATGGCTTGACGGTTCAGTTTATTCCTGAGTGATATTCTGTTGTATGGATATACCACAGTTTATTTATCCGTTCTTTTCTTGAAGGACATCTTGGTCTCTTCCAGTCTTAGGCGATTATGAATAAAGCTGCTATAAATATTTTCTTATCAAAACCACTGTTAACAAGGAGACAATAATGACTTTAGAGTCCGTACCCTCCATAAATGGGTGTGATACTGGGAAAATTTCTCAGCCTTTCTGATCTCTGGTGTCCTCATTTGTGAATGGCGAGGCGGTGGGGAAGATTGGAGGTGATGTGAATAAAGCATGTACTTCGCCTATGCCTGGCTCCTTGGGAACAGTCTGTTGATGGTGTGGTGATGGTGATGACGAACAGCAGCTGGGCATACAGCAAATGGGTAACCCAGGAGAATTAGGTGCTTTGTGCTTCAATAGGAAAATTTTATCTGCAGAGTAAGAATGGTGACCAGCACGTATAACCGTGTCTCCCAATAGCCTCCCTTCTCCCACTGATGTCCACTTACTCTTAAAAACATTCGGAGCTGACTCCTTGCCATTAATACCCCGTTCTCTTACTAACCTGCCAGCAGGGTTTCCTCCCATCCATCTCTGTCCCCTCAGGATCTAAGGACCTCGTAAATAAGCATTTATTTTTCTTTGTCCATTCCCGTTCCACGTCCTATGGTCAGCCTGGCTTTCCTCCTCTCCACGCTGATCTGAGACTTCCTGTTTATCTCCCGAAGCTTCACTGCGTCCTCTAGTCCGCAGTTTGTGACAGTTGCCCCTTCTTTCCTGACACCTCTGGAATCATTGGTGACTGGCCTTTCATTAGCTCATACTCACAAACTACTCTCTGTTGTTGTTAATCCCCCTAAGCAAGCTCTTGAACTTAGGGGGCCATGACTTCTATTTTGCGTACAGGGCTCTATCACACATAGATGTTTAATTAGCCAATGGATTAGTTAATTTGACTCAATCCCAGAAACTAAAATGGGTATTTGGCCCATCAAACTGATTGATGTGCACCTTTAAAACACGAGCAATGTTCATTTGCCCTGAAGAGGTTCAGGTTTATCTAGGAGTAAGAATATGGAGTAATCAAATATCTCTGCAAGTCCTTTCTGCATGGGTAGCTCTCATTTAAGCTTTTGCTATCTGGGCAACCCTGGTTTTCTGTGGATGAGCTGAGCTCAATCTCTTACATCAGTCCCCAGTCTTGACTTCCACCGTAGCCATGCTGACTCCATCATCTCCTAAGCGGCTTATGCTCAACATTAATGACCCTGTTAGCCCAGGTGACATGTAATTAGGAAAGTGAGCCTTTTTACGACCAAAAAATAAGAAGAGATTTCACACCCAAATAGAATATAGTTGTGGATTACTTCATATCTGTGCTCATATCATTCCTCCTCTCTCCACTAATTCAGCCCAGTGCTTGACTGTCCTTCTAGTCCTCGTCCCCTGTAACACTGGCAATGCATTCTGCTGAAGGGGGAGCTTAGCAAGGTTAGTAACTTAGTGCAGGTTATTGGAGGACATTCATTCTGAGTTTCGAGTCCAAGTGAGTCCAGAAAGCAACGGAATATTCCATATATTCCCCTATGTGACTTCTGCTGCCTGCCAGGGTCTGCTTCTCTTATGAGAAATCAGAGCTGTCTGGCCGTGGCTGGCTAAAATCAGAGAAATCCTGACTTCAGCCATTTCAGAAAGTGACCCAGTATCAGAGGAATGATGAGGACATAAATATGAGTGAAAGGCTTGGAGTTCTTCCCGTTCTCTCCCAGAATGGGTGCTCACTCCTTTGACTGTTGTGACTATCGCTTTATCTACATTTTGACTAGCACTTGGAACACTACCTCTGGGCAACTTAAATGAAAACTTGTTTTCCAGGGTGAAGTAAATGGGAAGAAAATTCCATTGTTCATCAAATGTGGTATCAACGGTTTGCCTGAGCTGCCCATTTTTGGGTGCATTCCTTACAAAACAACCGAGGGGGCAATAATGGGTATTTCAAGCTTTTCTTTTCTACCCCCAATATGTGAAAAGATAGCCTAAGTTGTCTGGGAAGGGACAGCAGTCAGCTGTGCTGGATTTCCAGTGCTTCCCAGATTCTGCACTATTAGCTTATTTTTTCCAACGTGGCTCTGTAATAACAACCCACTCCTTTCCCTGCACTCCTGGCCCCTTCTAATGTTTTGTTATGCTCATGCTGAAAGAAAAGGTGTCTGGGCATACTGTATCTCTTCATTTGGCTTCAGGGATTTCCCTTTGATTTGGAAAGAATAATCTCTCAAATTCCGCTATAAAATATACAGGAGAAAGAAAAAAAGATAAAGCTCCAGGAATGTGCGCTGGTGTTGACATTTTGTTCTAATACGGCTCATGTGAATGATCAATTACTCCAAGTCTTAATTATCCGCACTGTCGTTCACCACTGATTTGTATGGCCCGGTTTAGCTTTGTTGCCATCCTTCCAGGTATTAAAACAGCCACTCTCCCACAGGTACCTCCTAGACACCAGGAGCAACTCCACAGCCCCCTAATTGCTCTCTCCCTGGTTCTGCCCGGATTATTTATGGTGAGTCGCCAGTTATCTCCTCGCTGGCAGCCGTCCCTGCTTTCCTGCAGCGAGCAATTGCCCACACGCACATTTGCAAACAGAGGCTCACTCAAGTGTCACTAAAGGAGACAGGAGGTGGAGCCAAAAGGGCTTTAAAAAGGAAAGGGAGTCATTCTACTTTGCAAAAAGAGAAACTATGTTTGGGGAGGAATCCTATCTCTGTACTTATTTTTCAGCTTCAGCAAGGGTTGGTCGGAACTTTCCATCACTTTCCTTTTTTTCCTCTCTCTCTCACCGTGGCCTACACTGCTCTGCCTGTCACAGCGAAGTCAGCAGCAGGCCTCTAGAAGTCAGCGGCCGTGAAACTGTGAAATTTGTCATACGGGTGTCAGGTATTTCTTACTGACTTCCCAAGAACTTTGATAAAGAAATCTTTCCCGGGGGTCCCTGACAGGCTGCAGGCCACCGTCTAGAGTTGAAGAAGGAAGAGCTAGAGGACTACCGCAAAGGAGCAGAGCGAAAGATGCCCCAGGGCTGCAGGCCAACCCAGGGGGACACGCTTGGGGTCAGACGTACCCACTCTGCCCGGGCTATGCTCAAGCAAAGTCAAGTCATTTTCTGTTGAAAGTTCAAGCCCATCAAGATTATGCTGCTCGTCCTAGTCATTCTGTTGCCGGTAGTTTTTAAATGTAGTTCTGCTAGTCTCTCAGTCCTGGAACACTGGAACTGCCCTGAAGCCTCTCCCCCAGGAAAGGGAAATTCTACTTGTGTGGGTAAGTCATCTCATTAAAAGGAATTCACATCCTCCCAGAAACTGCCTTCATATACCTGTCCATTCTGTTTTGTATACTTGGGTATTTTTTTCTGATTTGTCTTTGGGTGGGTATATTTGGGTAATTTTTGTTCTCTAATGCAAGTACATTTCCTTCTGGTTGTTAGAGGTGATCTGCTACCAGCTATAAAAATTCACGGCTCTCAAACTGTTCTTGTGTGTTTGAGTGAATATGTCTCATTTGTAAGTAACTGAACATTTCTTTTCATGTAAACTGCTGTATTTATCCTGACATGAGGTGTATCTACTCACTTGGCTAGTCAGCTTGATATTGGAAGCTGGGGAAACAGGTGGGTTTTTATGGGAAACTGTTTCTATATAAGCCATAAAGTTAAAAAAAAATCCTTCTTTCTGATAACTTTGTATAAGAACTCAGAAGTTGCTAAAACACTTGTGAAAAATGGGAAGGGACTAGGGAACTAATGTGATTCTGTCATTTTGAAAGCCAAGTTTCAAGTTCAACCTCCTCTCCTCTCTCCCCTCTCCTGCTGTTTCTGAACTCTGAGGGCAACTTCAGTTTTTGACTAACAGGTGCATTGAAACTTTGAGCACTGCTAAGAAATGAGTTTTTCATCAAGGAGAAATGGAACTTTTATTAAATGGGTTTTTCATCAAGGAGAAATGGAACTTTTATCAGACGTAAAGAATCATCATGCTTGAGAACTTTGCCTGAAAAACATCTCTCTCTCTCCCCACTCCTGCTTCCCCTTCTCCCCTTCCCCTCTCCCCTTCTCTCCACCTTCCTCTTTCTCTCTCTCCCTGTCTTACTGTTGATTTGGTTTATTTATTCCTTGGGTGGGTCTCCAACCTGCTGCTGAAAAAAGGCAGCCATTTCCAATCACTAGAGGGCATAAACTCCCCTGACATACCTTTTCTGTTGCCCTGACCTTCTGAAAAGTGGTATGAGTCCGAAAGAGAGGTAGAGGGAGAAAAACACAGTAAAGTTTCCAGAAGAGAAGCCTCTGGAAGACAGCGCAAATTAATGGGAATAAGAGAACAATTCTGAGTCAAGCTGCTGACTTCGGGCTTGTGCCCTGGCTCTCCCATGAAGGAAGTTACAAATGAGGAAATCAGGTGTTCTTGCTCCGAATCTTAAGACTCTGTCTCTAGGCAGTGCTCATGGTAATAAATGAGCAGAACCCTACTGGAAGGGTACTGGAAGGAAGGACTGAGTTCTAGTGATCTCTGTGTCAACTGGCACATAGAATATTTCTGCTTTCATAATATGTTCTCTATAAGTTCTTCCCAAATGAATGAGAAGTCTCTTCCTGAGCTGCTAATCACATCGTCCTAGAGAATAGCTATGAAAAGGGGGTGACAAAAGGCAAAAGGGCCCCCACGAACCTGTTCCTCAGCTGTTGGAGCAGAAGTAAAAACTTTTGGACAGTTATGTCAAGTGGACTGGAGACTCTCTGGGGCAGGAGAATTTTCTGAGACTAGTTGGCCAGTGTCCTGAGACAGGCTCTGCCTTCTGCATGGGATGTGAGGGGAGATGGTAGGAGCCAGTCAAGAAGCAGAATCTGAGAGAGCAAAAAAATTTAGAGAAATGAACTGCTGCACATACCTTTAGAGGCTCAGGGAACAAACTGATTGATTCCTGCCTGCAAATGAGCCTCTGCCTTGAGCTCCTCGCTGCCCCTGCAGGTGGCTCAGAGCTGCCATCACTAAGGCTGGTTGCACCAAGTAAACCTAAAGGCCAGGCTAGAGACAGTGAGTCAAGCGGGACTGTGTCAGAGTGGAAGGCTTTAGAAGCAAACATACCTCCTTTCAAATCCATTCTACCTATTGAATACTTGAACAAGACTAGATTGTTGCTGGGAACTGAGTATACCCCCGTTTCGGGATTGTTACGGGGATGGCATGAGATGACACATATAAAATGCACCCAGCATGGAGGTTGCAGGTGGTGCTCAATAATGTCCCTTGGCCCTTCCACGGCTTGACTGAAACCCTTTGATCAAGTCATACAGGAGGTGTCTTATTTGAACAGTCCTGTGACATGTCTCCTGTGGCACAGACCCCAGAGAGTCTAGAATGTCTGGATGCCACTTGGTGATTCTGCCTCTGCTCCCTTGCAAGTCACTGGTTTAAACCCCCCTGCTTTACACTCCACATCTCATGTTAGCCAATAACTGCCTGGGTCACACCCTGTGCCCCCTGCATTTCAGAGGATAGTATTCCTCCCCTCTAAATAGATACAGTGCTATCTATTTTTCGGCCAATTAAGTTCTACTGGCCTTTTTTACTTGCCTTTGGCATTGAGCCAGACCACCTCTGGTCAGCAGGAAGAACGCTTTGTGGTTTGACAAAGTTCAGGTTACTTTATGCAAGGTTGTCGTTCATGTGACTGCTAGCCGGGTAAGCCAGTTGATAACACGGAATTGGGTTTTTTCATTCTACCCTCCACCATCCTTCCTGCCTTTTTTTTTTTTAATTGAATGAGTATTTTATTAGCCGTATTTGAGCTAGAGTTAGGTGAGAAGAGCAATAAGGAAAACTGCTGGCAAGTGGCTTCTGAACTTTCAAGCCTGTTTGCCCTGGAGGAGAAAAATCAGTTGAAAAAAGGAACTTTTCCTGTTTGCCATGTGTACCTGTATTATTTATCTGAACTTTCTTCGTAAATAAAGGGTGAGGAAGAAATACAGGCCAACCGTGAGACAGCTGGCTGCAGGAGGGATCCGGGGGTACTAAGTTAGCCAACTGGGAAGATCGCTCTTAGCCGTAAACAGTGAGAGCCTTCATTTCAGCACTGGCTAAGGCTTGGTCAGTTTCCCAGTCCTGTGCAAAGGAGTAATTCCAAGATCAGAATCTTGTTTGTTTTTTCAGCCAAGGTTATGCAAAAATTTTTTTTTTTTTTAATCTAACTAGAAAGAAATTATAGAAATGGTCTTCTACACATACCATGTGAATGAAACCACCCCCTCAAGTACTCAGTGGTTTGGGGCTTTTTTTTTTTTTAATTTATTTATTTGACAGACAGAGATCACAAGCAGGCAGAGAGGCAGGCAGAGAGAGAGAGAGAGGAGGAAGCGGGCTCCCCGCGGAGAAGAGAGCCCGACTCGAGACTCGAGACTCGATCGCAGGACCCTGGGATCATGACCTGAGCTGAAGGGAGAGGCCTTAACTCACTGAGCCACCCAGGTGCCCCTGGTTTGGGGCTTTTGAGGGGCCATCAAGCTTAGTGGTAAAAAAGCTTGTTTTCGAGGTTCAGACACCAGTTCTGCTGCTTGTGAATGGAGTCTCATTTTTCTTAGTGCAAAACAGAGATTTTTTTCCTTAGTGCAAAACACCCTCAAAATTGTTGTTGTCAGGATTATGTTAATGTATTTGTTTTCAATGCCGACCACACATTACAATCACCAGTGTCTAGGTTACCACCCGGGGCCATCTGGGTCAGAGTCTCTTCTGGGGGTGAAATCCAGGCCCCATTTTCTTTTTTATTCTCCTTTGGCAATTTCAACAGGCATAATGAACAGCTTCGGTCCAGGACCACTAAATTAATACATAAGAAGTGCTTAAAAAAAAAAAAGTGCATAAAACAGAGCCTGGCGTATAATTAGCTCTCAGTAAGTCTTAGCTGCTATCAGTATTTTTATCATTGTTAACATTATTTTTATTGGTGGCAATAGTAGTAATATTTTCTAAATGTGGCTTGGTTTCTTCTACAATAATTAAATTTTCTTTTTTTTTTACACACAGAAAAAAATGACACATTGAAAAACTTAATGATAGTTTTACCACATTAAAAAAAGTAGTCAAAATAATTTCAACATTTATAACTTGTATTTTTGTAATTAGAAGAAATGTTTATTAAAAATACAAAAACACATCAAACTGACATTAGTCAGTGTCCATGTGGAACTGCAATTCCAATGTTTGTCTTTCTGCGTGATATCAACTGATAAAAATTGCGCTAAGCACCAATTAAATCTGCTTGCTAGATTTCTTACCAGTAATAATTTTATTTTAATAACAATAACAAAACAAGCCACTTGAAAATGATTGTTTAAATTTCTTGCATATTTTTTTCTTGTATTTAGAACCAGTTTCTCTAAGATGTTTAAAGTTGTTGTGGGCTTATAAAGAAATAATAAAATAATTATTTAAATGAATTTTGAACAAGTTGTGGCTGTCCAAATATTTGACATTTCAGTTTAGAAGTTGGAAGGTGGGAATTCTTTGCTTTTGTTCAGAATTGAACAGCTAATTATTTTCCATTAAAAGTAAATGGACTAGTAATTTGGCTCACATAAATTCAGAATCTTCTATGTTTTGGACTAGTTTAGGAAGAATAGATATTAACTCTTTAAATGTTTGGTAGAATTCAGCCATGAAGCTATCTGGTTCTGGGTGTTTGTTGGGAGTTTTTTAATTACTGCTTCAATTTTATTGCTGGTAATCCATCCATTCAAATTTTCCATTTTTTCCTGATTCACTTTTGAGGGTTATATGTTTCTAGTAATTTATTGATTTCTTCCAGGTTGCCCAATTTTTTAACATATAATTTTTCAAAATATTTTCTTATAACTCCTCTAATTCTGTGGTGTTGGTTATTATTTCTCCTCTTTCATTTCTAATTTTATTTGCATCCCCTCTCTCCCTCTCTCTCTCTCTCTCTCTCTCTTTAATGAGTCTGGCTAGAGGCTTATCAATTTTATTGCTCTTTTCAAAGAGCTAGCTCCTGGTTTCATTGATCTACTACTTTTTTAAGTCTGTTTTATTTATTTTTGTTCTAATCTTCATTATCTCCTTCTTTCTGGTTTTGGGTTTTGTTTGCTCTTTTTCTAACTCCTTTAGGTATAAGGTTAGGTTGTTTGTTTAAAATTTTTCTTGCTTCTTGAGGTAGGCCTGTATTGCCATAATCTTCTCTCTTGTAGCAGCTTTTATTGCATTCCAAAGATTTTTTTAAAGATTTATTTAATTATTTTGAAAGAGAGATAG